GAGCACTGATAAATCCTGGGAGGGTGTCCCCGCACCAGTGCTGGGTCATCCTTGCTCTATGAGCCGGTGCTGAATCTTGTTGGAACACGAACGGTCTAAAGCCGAAGTGGTATTTTGCAACCATGGAAGCAAGATGTTTTTCAGCACGCAGCACGCACTCCAAATAGGATTCCTATTGTTTTTTTTACATGAAAACGATGTTGACGATGAAAACCAGCGGGGACTCTGCTTCGTAGGTGGTCGCTGCTCGAACCATGAATTTTGCTGCATGTCCAGAGCATCCATGAATTCTTCCTCTCTCTTTAGCTTCTTCAGCTGTCGAGCAGAGCACCACCCGATCATTTCGACGGTTGAAAGTCGATTCCAAAGTAAACAGCTTCTCATCGGAGAAGACAATATCTAGGTGACGCGCCGACGTGAACCGTTGGAGGAGCATCTTGCACTCATGGGTCCGGTTTTTCTTCAAGTATGCAATGAGAAGGTGCACATTTCGGCATCGATGAGTTGCCAATCTCAGTTTCTCTTCGACTGTACGGCGAGTGGAACTATGACTTATTCCCAGCTTTTTGACAATCTCGCTTATGACCTCTTCGGATTGCGCCGCACCATATCCCGTACAACTTTAACTTTTCTCGTGGAAGTTGCAACTGATTTTCTTCTCCTTCCTGGGCGTCTTCTGTAGTACCGAGCTCAATGAATCGTTTGATGGTGAAGTCCACAGTTCTGCTGAATGATAGAGTTTTGCGATGGTTTTGGAACAGCGACATATCTGGTGTAACTGAATAATAGCGGGTATGAGAGGAAGGAGGAGTAAGAGCTGAGGATCGAAGCTTGTGTTCTTGACAAAGGAAGAAGTTCTAACATGTTCGCGGCTAATCGATAGGTCGCCGCTGCATTAAATCAATTGATCAACCTCTACAACACTGAGCAAATAATTTTGGCGCATCCCGTGGATTGTCTGTAATGTAAGACCAAGTGGCGCACCATCGCACACAAAATTCGATCCTCACTCCCTAGCTCATTCGGTACGATACTCGTATCTGAGGGTATGAGTTCTAAATTGAACATCGACTGACCGCCGTAAGCCATCGTTACAGGGTGTCCCAAAACTATGGGCGGCAAAGTTCATAAATTTCTAAGGTAGAAGTAATCTGTCGGAATCACATTACCCCCTATTATTCAGTTGCATAAGAAGGTTTTCTTGCAATACGCATGGTTGCCGTGAAACTCCCAATATCTTTTAGATGGAGGAGGCTCATTCAATGCTACCTGCAATCACTGACCACGAGAGGTGGGAGGGCATTGTGAAATTGCTTGTGGTTCTTATGATATCCGCACGCAGAGAAAGCCATTAAACGACACGGAGAAGAAGGTTCACTCAAAGGCGAGCTGAGAGAGGGTAGAAAAAGCTAGCTATAAGAATTCCTGCTCTCCCAAAGGTAGGGCTATGAAAATAGTCCATTTGCGAGTCGCCACAAGTAGCCAAGAGATCTTCGAAGACTCTCGAACTGATACGCCAGCGTGGGATCGCGCGAGCTACACGCAATTATCAATAAACGTCCGAACTTGCGAAGCTATGCAGAGAAGCGATAAAGGAAGATCTGAAAGAGAGAAGAGCAGCAGTCATGGACGAAGCCGCCGAGGCCGGAAAGAACATTCGCAAAGCCCGACGGAGCTTCGCCAATTACAAGACCAAGACGACTTCCCTTCTTCGTCCTGACGGGACCGTTACTGCATCCCGGAGGGCAATGGAGAAGGTCATCTACGACTTCTACTCGGATCTCTTCGACAGCCACGTCTATCTGCCTACTCACCATCTTAGGCAAGACGAATATATCGCTCCTTCGGTTCTCAATTCCGAAATACGACATGTCATCACGTCGATGAAGAACAATACAGCGCCCGGTCCCGATAGGATCAAACCAGAACATCTGAAGAGGATGCCACCAGTCATCATCAAAACTCTGGCTAGGTTCTCCACACGGTACCTGTCGGAATGCCAAGTGCCCACGTCGTGGAAGACTAGCAAGACTGTGTTGCTGTACAAAAAGGGAGATCCAGACGATATAGGCAATTATCGCCCAATCTGCCTGCTGTCCGTAGTCTATAAGCTTTACACTCGTGTCATCCTAAACAGGATTGGCAGAATATTAGATGAAGGACAGCCATGCGAGCAAGCAGGGTTTCGGAGAGGGTTCAGAACAATCGATCATATCCACACTCTAACAAGGCTCAGTGAAGTATCGCGAGAGTACAAAATGCCACTATGTCTTACGTTTATCGACTTGAAGAAAGCTTTTGACACAGTTGAGACACAAAGCGGTAATTGAAGCCCTGGGCAACCAGGGTGTTCCTACTCAATATATAAGGATGCTTCGTGAGCTCTACGACAACTTCACGACCAGGATTTCACCATTCTACAAGGAAGTCATTGTCAACGTGAAGAGTGGTGCCCGGCAAGCCGATACTATTTCGCCCAAAATTTTCAGCCATTTGATGGGAAGACTTGGGAGTGAAGGTCGACGGCCGCTTCCTACATCACCTCCGCTTTGCAGACGACATCGTGCTCATAACACCGAACATTGAGCAGGCGGAACGAATGCTAGCCGAGTTTGATAGTGCCTGTGGAGAGACCGGCTTGAGGCTGAACCTAACGAAGACGATGTTCATGAAAAGCGGACTGGTACCTGATGCTCCTTTCACGGTAAACGGAACGAATATCTCCGAATGCTCTAACTATGTGTATCTAGGTCGGGGAGTCAACATGATGAACGACCTAGCTCCAGAACTGTGCAGAAGGAAACGCGCCGCGTGGGGAGCATTTAAGAATATCGAGGGAGTAGTGAAGAAGACAAAGAACATCCGGCTCCGCGCTCACCTTTTCGACACTGCTGTCCTTCCTGCTTTGACGTACGCCTCGGAGACCTGGACTCTACGAAAGCAGGATGAGCATGCCGTCAGCGTTATTCAACGCGCTTTGGAAAGGACGATGCTCGGAATTTCCCTATACACGCAAGTGCAGAAGGGAATCCGGAGTTCCGAGCTCCGTCACCGAACGAAGATCAGGGATGCCGTTGATTACGCCAAGAAATCGAAGATCAGGTTGGCCGGACACGTTATGCGATATAGTGATGACCGTTGGACCAGGGCGGTTACTGACTGGATCCCTCGGGACATCAAACGAACTCCAAGAAGGCTGCCAACGAGATGATCAGACTTCTTCACGAAAGCTCTGACCGAAAGGACTATTGAACCTCGTGTCCCTGAAGCGAGGACGATTCACTGGACCACCCTGGCTCGTAACAGGGACGAATGGAGACGTTACTAGCGCCCGCTTGAGAAAGTCGATGATCAACGGGACGACAGGTGATACAGGTGATTTGCGAGTCGATCGTGATGTTGGGTGATCCATGAAAAAAACGGCAAAAGAGCAGGAATTATTGAAGTTGTCGGTGGGTCGGATTGTCAAGCAAAAGCTTCATTGCCGTTCCCATCACATGCAGAAATGTCGCTTCAATTCCGATCTCAACGGACATTGCAGGGCCAAAAAATGCAGAAAGTCGCAGAAACACTTAAGTAAAGACACGCAACCCCTCATGGTTTTCTCTGGCCAAAAATTTTTTACGAGAAATATGTTTCTCGAAGAAGTCACAGACAAGCGTAAAACGCTCGTTGTTTCTTCGATGCAGGCGTAAAAATTGACCAAGACTGGTACTCAAAGAGCGTAATGATGGACGTAATGAGACATTGATCCGACCGCGCTTCCTGAACCTCGTCCTCCTGACCTCGTGGTCCTTCCAGCAGGAAGGACTTGACTCACTTGACTTCCCGTATATTCCATGATTATGATTGATTATGATTATAAGAGGACCTGTAAAGTTTACAGTCCCAGTTTGGAGTCCTAGCAAGCAAGAATGAAAAACGGATAGGAAGAAATGGTGAAGAACACCTGCGAGCAACATGCAATCAGGTCGAGAGCAAACTTTGGGCCTCTATCCGCGCTCATAGGGGATATTATAAAATCGGATTGTAGCGAGTTGTAGCAAATGATGTTAGCTAACGTGCATAAGCTGAGAAGCCCCAAATATATTGCTATAAATTGGCGCCCACAATTTTAGGACACCCTGCATACATCACACAAGTTCCTAATCAGCACCGATGCATCTCTACCATATTCACTTAATGCGTGAGTCCCAAGCCTTCCAACCCACAGCCTATCCCTCCCCAGCTGAACTTAACTGAACTACTCAGGTTTTTTCAATAGTACCAAGCTCTGGGGCACATACAAACTCACAAATAATTGAAAAACATTGAAATTTCCTGAGGATAGTTAACTTCACTTGAAATTCTTCTGTAACTTTCTATAACCTATGGAACCTATCTATAACCAGCCTTGATGGAACAGCAAATACCGAATGGCCACCTTAGGAGGCTTATGTATGTGTAGTAACCTCACTGAACTTTTTTTGGACAAGGCTCAGTCTCTTTGGATGAAATTTGGACGAACACTACCATTGTTGTATTAACATGTGTCAATACGATGTAGCAACAGGTAATCAAACCAATAAGAGGCTCGAAGTCAAAACAAGTGCAACAACAATGATAACTATTTATAATGAGCGAATTTATAATGATAATATGTAAGGATTTTACAGTTAAAACTCGTTGAAGTACAAAAGCGTGACTGAATGACCTGAGGATTAAAAATAGATCATTATTGACTTTTTATACGTTATTACAAGATAGTACATAGGTAAGAGTGAGAATCAGGTCAGAACTCAGGTCAGTGATGGACCATGTCAGTATTTACAAAAAAAGAACTAGCACAAATTGCAAATCACAACGTGCTCAGCATAGCCTGGAATGACCTGATTGAAAAAAAAANAAAAAAAAACACCAGCTCAGATATTTATAATCAGAACCACTCGAGTACTACATATATGAAGAAGAACAAACTTATAATTTAAACTAATGCCTAAAAATTTCAAAAGTTGAGCTATTCAAAAATCAGGCAGTTCGAAGCCGGCTTGAGTGCGGTTGTTGAACTTTCCGACAATACCCATTTCTTTCAACGTACTGACGAGTGCATCTTCGAAGTTGTCTGAATCAATCGGGTACTTCAAACAGGAAACAACAACAGCAGAGCGCGGTTAGGTATGAGGCACAAAGCCGTCAGAAACCCACTATTATGGTGAGCGGGTGTGTGAAGTTAGTCACGACTGACATTACTTCGTCGAGTGCGAAGTGACCTCAATCGTAACTAACCTCATCTTAATTACGCACCTCCCCCTTATCGTAACTAACCTCATCTTACTTATGAGAATGATGGCAATGATGAGAATAGTGAGAGAATGAAATTTCAGGAAAAGTAGTTTTTCGACGTAAAATTTTCATGGTCTTTGGTTTTAAAAGTTCTATTAGCTTCAATGTTTAAATTCGGCTTCACCGCAGCTTCATTCCGCTTCCCAACCCTTTTACTATGCTACTTCCGTACCAACCCAGCCTCAACCAATGTAGCTCGAAACCGGCACCACAACCATTATAATATGCTACTTTCGTACCTATACAACCTCCACTAAGGCAGTTCCAACACGCACCGCTGCCCTTGTACTATGCTACTTCTGTGCCAACCCAACCACTCCAACCGGTACTGAAGCCTTCGCCCTATAATACTTCCGCACCCACCGCACCGCCCCAAACCGTAACACAACCTTTGCACTATGCTACTTCTGCACCAATCCAACCGCTCCAACCCGTACCGCCACCTTCGCTCCGCTTCCATTATTGGAATTTTTGGTACTATTCCACTATTACAACCCCAAAAACTCAAAATTTTAATTTTCGATGAAACTTCGCCTATAGGGGTAATCCGATGCCCTGATAACGAATATGANTATATTCGTTATCAGGACCTCAAATAGCCCTTAAACGCAAGTTTTCAGCAAATTTGGTGAAAACACCTTTGGCGCCATTTGGCGCCAAATGGCGCCAGCGCTAAAAGTGAAGGTCATATTCGTTATCAGGGCATCGGATTACCCCTATAGGCGAAGTTCCATCGAAAATTAAAGTTTTGAGGTTTTGGGGTTGTAATATGTAGTGGAATAGTACCGAATTTTTTGTTGGATTTTCTATCATCTTCCATGGTAATAAAACTTTTTAAACCAAAGACCACGAAAGTTTTACTTTCATTTTGCACCTCAACGCGAAGTAATGTCAGTCGTTACTAACGTCACACACCCATGGTCAGCAGGAGATCCAGGCGTAGTCAGTGATGCAAGCCTGGAAGGCAAATGCACATACATGAATATCTGTTGGCCTTTGCGGGTCAACATACTGACTGCTCACAAATTAGCACCTCAAAGACAAAGGATGTAAACCTAATGTATGACGCTACTCAAGAAGACTGATAAAGGTGACAACCTTTTTATAAGCCTTTCTCGCCAGAAACAGAAACTTATAAAATGGAGAATGTATTCAAACAATTACAAAAGTATATACTAACCGAGCAGTTCCAAATAATTCCGATCCGGTGTGGCTGCAAGGAACTGTTGGATACAGTTTTGAATCAATTTCGCGGCGGCTTCATTCGGGAGATCTTTGTCCTGCAGACGACATAATTTACCGAACTCCATCATCTGCAAATCAAAGGCAATATTCATAAAGAGTTGAGAAATCACTATGCAAGCGACTCACATCACTGAAGAATATTGAGCGAATAGCCAGATATCGTGCACGGGGCACCACAACACCACTCAACCTCGTTTTACCATAATTTGATAACCAGTCACAAAGCTGCCGCATTTCGTTCACCTTAAGAAACAACTCATCCTTTCATTCTAGTATCACGACGACTGGCATCTTTCATAGTTCACGATTTTGCGAGCGACCAGTCGCGCAACAGGTCGCGGATCCATCTCGCGGATCCATCTCGACTGATCGCGCCACCGGCCGCTCAATCGGTCGAGGAGGCCGCGCTAGTTATGGGAGCCGCCGGGAACGGTCCCAAGCAGATCGCGCGATCAGTCGAGCGATCACTCACGCGATCAGTCGAGTGACCGGTCGCGCGACTGGTCGTGGAATGAAAGCAGCCACTCCAGAGTCTTTTCACTTACGCAATCAGAAGCTTCACCAAAGAGATAACGTACTGGTAAACCCGACAACTCTCACAACAATACATAAAACAGTGAAGATCAGATGTATGATCAAAAGGCTCACAAAAGCTTCTCGAGCCCCTTGTGGCAGAACTTCGTGGAACAGCTCAAACAGATTTTTAAGTGATTTCTTCAAAGGCATAGCATTGACCAAAAGCTGCATCAGTCGTGATACCAGAACAAGGCACCTGAATGAGCCGTTCTGTAGCGGATTCACTATCAGGTGAAAATGAGGACAAATAAAAAATTAAATTTGAGGCAAAAATTTTGAAACACCTAAATTTAAATTCAATTTCTTCTGTAGCCTTATATCTAGACACTAAAACTACGACTGGTTTTACCACGCATAGAGATGATATAAACCAAATCCAAATAGCGAAATGGCAAACCTATAGTGGCATATTTAGCCTACCACCGGACCGAAGGTATTCAAAAAAGCTTTTGATGGCGTTCCTATACTCGAAACAGACACTAAACGACACTAAATGACCGACTAGACAGAAGTCGAGTTGCCCTCGACATGGTTTAGCCATACCCAACGTGACCCCAATGTGAAGGTATGCCTCTGATGAACACTATCACCTGTCGCCGCCCTGCAAGTAAGTTCTTATAGAAAGAAAGATTTTGGATTTACAAAGCGGACCAGCCAGTGTGGGCAGGAGAAAATCTCAAGTGCGATTTCAAGAAATTTATATGTATCCATACAAAGGCAAAGGTGGGTATTCACGCAAACAAGCCAAATCTTAAACTTCCCAGAAGCCAGCTAGTTAATTTAGATTTAGTGTTAAATCATAAAGGGTAAAGAGATCAAGTTTTTGGGCTCTAAAGGCATAGTTCATCAAAATGGCTCATGAGATATCCCACTAGAACAACAAATTTGTGTCCCCTTCGTTATCATAGGATGACAGGTCGAAAAACAACCTAAATATGGCGTTGAAAAGGCTCGAGGATTGTTCCTTGGGTATGCTCGGAAGAATTCGTACGGAATTGTAGAAGCTGCACCATTCACAAGGGAACCCATATATGAAGTTCAAACAAATTGTCATGACCAATAGCGACAGTGAAGGCTATTCTGGACAGTTTTGGCTTGATGTAGTCAGCACTTTGTGCAGTTGCAATAACTGAAATCTCGTCCGAACACCCCCTCCATGTTACCTCCATCATGAAAATCTCGTCTAAACTCTATTCTCATTACTTTTGAGAAGCCATATTTTTCTCGAAATTTATATCTTTTCGCCAATTTTCTTGTTTTCTTCACTACCCATGAACTAGTCTCGACTTATACATCTGCTTTTCGACACAAAAGGGGTAACTCGAAATTATCGCGAACTATACCTCTAATTAATCCCATCCCAGAGATGCGCCCACGCACTCGACTTCCATTCAGAATCATAGTGGAGTATTGAAGCGTCCTATACAATGACTTTCGGAGGCGGAGGCCAGCCGATGTACAAGCCCGTGCTTTCATCCTCTCGGACGAGCTTGGTACGAATCAACCCACTGACGACAATGGGGTTTCGACGTGATGCACCTATGGGATCACGCTCCCCTCCTTTCGCGCGCGACTGGCACCCACCGTGGGTGGCACTGTCGCAGGAGAAAATTCTCTCACTGGCTTACTGAATTCAGCAGTTGGCAAGAAACAAAAAAGTATGAGAGCAACCAAAATTGGGTGCCATTGTCTTATGCGCCAGTCATAGTGACACCCACCGGTGGGTGCCATTGTCGTCAAAGGGTTAACCGACCCCGGAGGAATGGAAGGGTTAGGCGGATATCGATCCGGGATGTGAGCCCGTGACTGTTTCATTAACGCCTCAAGGCTTTAATCAGGATGAATGAAACCATCAATTATCATCTGGATTCATCGGCTGGACTTTTCGCAAATACGACTTCAGCCGACCAACTCTTATTAGAGGACAGATATACGCTTCAAAACGAGGACGATTAATAATGTAGCGCAAGGAAATAACCTATAAAAGGGAGGAAATAAACCGAGGTTGGACGAGTTATTCTTCAATTTCTGTGCGCAGCTACATATATTGTGTAATGAATTCGAAATGGGATACAACCTCGAATAGTCTCTCCAAAAATCGCACAACTCCAATTTAACCAAACGTTCTTTTGAGATCGATCGATGAGCATCAGTTAGCAAATTTCTCACGTCGACATACAGATCTCTGTGCTACAAATACAATAAATTCGCGCAATACAAGATATGATTGTTCAAGTTTAAAACACTTTAAAAAACTGTTACTGTAAGTCTTATCTGTTAACGTTTGTTCTGTTTGGTAAACAGCACTTACAGATACTCTTCGATTTGATAGGATTTTAAATATTTCCTTTTGCTCAGCAATAAGACGGTTCATACATTTGCTCATCGCACCTATGACCGTGTTGCGAGGGATATCGCCTTGTACTTGGATTTTCTGCTAAAACATCAAACAACATGTTCTCTATCTGTAAGAAATGAACGAAACAATTTATCCAAAAACTCGACACCACAGAAATGCCAAAATATTGGATGACGCCTGAAATACCACTCACATTATAACATTCCAGATTCTTCTTTTTGATTAGTTTTGCGTATCGCTGGATTCGAATTATCGGCTGATGACATGAAGGGTGGGGGCAAAGCAGCGCTTTGGACTGGTCTTGGGCGATTTTCATATGCTTGTCGAGGACCTGAAAATACCAGTTTATTGACCGACTCATTGCTGCGTAACATTACCCCGGTCAGGGTTGATGGCCGTTGGAAACACTCAGTGTTCCGAACCGGCATACTGCTCTGAACGTGTGACTGTAGAGCTAGACCAATGAAAAAGAGAACTCCCCGATAAAGACCAACCTTGGAAGGGAGGTCAAGATAAGAACAGACTTTTCTCAGAATTTCAGCAGGCAAAGGAAGAGTTTCGCTCCTTCCCGCAGTTTCTACGGTAAATTGAATAACAATGGAGCAAGCTCTTCCAAGTCAGCTTACGTGACGGAGATATAGGTGAATACTACTGAGAAAACGCTCACCTCAACAAGGAATATATGGCGACATCGCTCGACCTCTATAATTCTTCGGATTTTTGTCATCGTCGCCTTGGCACCCAGAGACTCCTCTACCATGTTAACATAAGCCTGTTTGTTGCAAGTACCACAGAGACCTAGAAGGCCAGATATGGAAGCAAAATATGATCGTAGTGTGAGGGAAAAAGCGGTGAAGGATTATGGGATATACTATACTATGCTGTAGGTATTATAAAGATACCCTCAAATGGGTGACAACAGTTTTTCAATTATAGATGATTCCGATTAGCGACTCTTGAAAAATAATACTTATCAAAGCAGCTCCTCACGTGGACAATCTTCTCCACACATTCCTAGGCAGCCATGGCCGCATGGTAATCGCAAAGTGCATGGTTGCTCGCAAGGTCGCACATCACACACTTCATAGCACCTGAGAAATACGTTCATAGGTGGAAAAAATACTTCTCGCATTCATTATGGGCTTGATATGCTCCTTCTTCTCTCTCAAAAATCAAAAGTAAGGGCACATTGAACTGGAAAAGCTGGTGTAGTTCATCTAATGAAACCTACTTATTGCCACAGCTACGATGCTGGCAGCTATTGTCGCACAGCTTTGGACAAAGAACACATAGTTGTGAGCAATTACGACAATACTTCAGTGTCTGAAAACTCTTTTTTGCTCTGCCATTTTTCGACGGAAATAATGCTATGACTGACTGAAAACGAAATGAAAAGAAAAATGTACAGACATTATTACAGAGCATAGGCCAAACCTGGCTGCGATCACTTTTTCCGCACTCCTGATGCTTACAACTTGTGAGACAGGGCGAGGTACAAGGCTCACAAGGTTCACCACATCTAGGCAGAATCAATTAAGGGAATAAAGATTACTCTAAATACAAATGTAAGTAAAAATAATCATGAAAAATGCTCGTAGTTTCGAATATTTGACTTCATTACTGACTACATACTAACCTCTTCGTGCACTGATGACCACAAATTAGCTGCTTCGAACAAATTGTCCCACATATGCATTCTCCTGCTTGAAGCAACCAAAATGATTATGGACTTCGAATTTTAGAAAAATCTTCTTAACAATAACGAGTTCTTATGCATCATCAATGCGAGGGGTCCGAAAAAGTCCAATGATCGAAAACATCGTCAAAAAATACATTTTGGGAAATGTTATCACAAAAAGGCCGGCACGGGTAACTCACCACTTCGCACCCTTCCATAAAATCTTCAATAAAAGGGCACGTGGAGCGGTGATTAACAAACTATACTAAAATTTTACTGACTCAACTACCTACCATCGAAGCATTCACCACATCTACGTACGCATTTGTGTCCACAGGGGAGTTCTTTACCACAAGTGGCGGGACAGAAGCTGGGGTTCGTACCAGAATGACATGGCATCATTACGGAATGACCACAAAGTTCCAAATCTTGTAAGACTTTCTCCTTCAATACATGTTATACAATAAAATAAATTCATTACTCAGCGAATGAAGAGTATGAAATCTGGCAAAGTGTCAATGTAAGGTGTCGGAAAATTGGAATTGGACGATAACATTACAAAAAGAAATTTCAGAAGGTTGACATTCAACCTGCAATTCTTGAAAAAGCCAATTAGAATTAGTATAGTAATCGAAAGCGTATACTTTAAAGTAAAGTGTATATCACTATTTCCTTAACAGGAAATCTATAACAAATTATGCTCACTGGCTACAAATGAAAAACTGGTTAAAACGCAGGGTATGAACAAGAATATCTATACTTTGTTTTGAGCAGAAGTTCAAAGATTTCAGAGCACATCAACGGGCACCAGTGAAAAGAAGACTTACTTCACATTTTTCCGTTTTCTCACTCAATTGGCAAGGAACGTGGGCAATGTGTCCACAATCCAGACGACGTCGCACTAGCTGAACAAATTTTCTTTAAAAGAGGACTTCTATGGCGACAAGCCCATATTCTCGAATTTGAGCAAGTTGAGTAGAACCGCAAAGCCAATGAAAAGCTACTTCTTTCGTTCAATATAACCTTGTTACATTCGGTCGTACATGGCTGACCACATCGTTCCTCACAATCATGGCCACATGACAGGATTTTTGGGCAACGCATAGGACAATCATCAGAAGTTTTCCTCTCGCAACATACCACCTTCCAAGAATGATTGCAGATGTTGTTCGAGAGGGTTACCGGCTGAATATAGAGCACTGTATTAACAAGGAAGCAACATCAGGAATGCAAAACAGGATGGCGGAATTACCTCGAAACAGTCCATATTGCAAGGCTTACCACAAGTGGAGGGGCACTGATGTCCACAGCTTAGCACCTTAGTACATCTGAAGCGTAACTAGTACCTTTGGAATGTTTCTACACTTCCAAACAGAATGGAAGGTGTAATAGAGTACAGTCTAGACCTGCTATACATTATTGAGTGGTCTCGTAACCCTCCCAAAACTTACCGTTCGTGACAAACAGCTTTATTCGACGCGTAACACATAACATTTGTGGAATGTCCGCAGTCCAGGCGAATTTGAACAACATGAGCGCAGTCTCCACATGGCTAAATATTGAATGAGACATTACAAGTTGTTCTATAATCCTATGTTCAAACATTGAAATCACCGTTGAATTACAGCGAGAAAATGATACCGATAAGTTCCTGAATAAGTACCTCAGAGCACCGCCGCTGACATGGGTGTCGGTATCTTTCATCTTTACATCGTCGAAGGCATACTTGCATACATTTGAAAACATCATGATCATCTAACGGGTGACACCTATGAATTAGCCATTGTAATTCACTGAAGAAGAGGGATGGCCTTGTAGTAACACGTTTCCTGCACCCGTAGGGCCTCATCCAATGCTGCTGAATCCCGTATCACGACCTTTTTTCTACGCGTTTTCTGCTCCCATACAGCCTCCTCCAATGCAGCGGGATCCCGTACCACAACAATCACTCTACACTTTTTCTACACCAACGCAGCCTCCCCCAATAGAGCTGAACAATATCAATTATGTATGAAAATAAAACTCTCAAAACCTGCTACTGAGTTGTTTTCTTTAACTCTTCACGAGGTTTGTATACAA